GCGCGGATGGAGAAGGAGCAACGGTAGCCCGAAAGAAAAACACGGAGGGTACACATATGTATATATATGACTCGTGCCGGGGAGTTAACGGCGTTACGGGCTTATTGGATTTACCGCGAAACCCGCGGGCGATGCGCGCAAAGTATACACACCTGCCCCGTCTTTTGCCCATGAGTGGAGCGCGTGGTTGAAAAAAACCCAAAAGCTCTCCAGAGGATGCGCTTTTTCTGATTTCAACGCCGAGAGTTTACGACGCGAGGGATGGCTTTCTCGCAGTAGTAGACCCCCGATATGGTCGGACGTCACCGGAGTTGGTGAAAAAAATTGAGGTGTCGTTCAACCAAAGAGTCCCGGCTTTGGCGATTAAATTAAACGGGAGATCAGCTGGCTCGCTCGCGCTAATAAATCGAGAGAGGCCACGTGTAGGAGGGCAATCGGGTATATGTACCTGCTGCTCCGTGCGCGGGGAGAAAGAGACAAAGGAGGAGGAGGCCAAAGAAGGCAAAAAGAGAGCAAACAGAGGGGGACGCAGCCGTACGAGCATTTAGCGTCAGATAGCGGGAAACGTATGAGGCGCGCGCAAAAACATTAGAGAGAGAGAGAGAGAGAACGCTATCTCCAAGGGCTAGTCAATAGTCCCGGGGATGGGGGGGTCGAGGAATTTTTACTCGCCCGGCCGCAGATTCGTGCCCGATACCTTTTTCTTCCTCCCTCCCTCTTGCGGACGTTTACAAACGACCTCGGGTATGCTTCTCTTTCGCGCGAGTGGAAGGCTCTTTTTTTCCCTGCTTTTCGGGGCGTGTAGAAAAATTTCCCGCTGACGAACCGCCGTCTTGGAGCGTTTTTCGAGGTGCTCCCAGTGTTTCTTACGCCTAAAATTTACTCAACCGGGGGGATTTTGACTCGTCCCGGCCGATCTAATTCTGGAGAATATTCATACAACTCTCCGACTGAATTAAGCCATCGGTGCCATCCGGTGTACGATTGTAGACACATCCTGAGTTTAATTATTCGTAAGCCGTGGGGTTCGCTACGCCCGTCATACATACCGTACATCGATTATTGGCTTTTCCACCTGACAAGCCTCAGAGACATAGGCCCAGTCTTAAAAATCGGTAAAAATCTAAGTCTCGATTTCTAGAAGTGATTGATTGAATTTTTTTTTTTTTTTTTTCACCATAAATATGAATAATAATTTTATACCTTTCTATACCTTGAACGCACGGATGTTATTTTATCACTTAAACGAAAGTTTTCAATAAAAGTTCATACAAATTTATACATCATTAATTTCAGATAAATCGATATTTCGCAAATCCAAACTCTCAAAATGTCTTGTATCTTTTGAGGACGTTCTCCATTGCTCGACACGATGAGAGATACCTCGGTCCGTTGGGCAATAAACATTGTAAATATATCTTTTGTCGGGTGGTCAAAGTCCAACTTTTTCAAGTGCCGCCAAAATGTTTTTAGACGACTAACCGGTAATTTTTCCTCGGCTCCAGAAAGACGCGAGCAACATTATACTGTCGAACGCGAGAGCGATAAGCGGAATTTAGAGCGCAGTATTTTACCCGTCCACCTGGAAGATATCCCGGTAAAAATCTGCCTGCGACCCCTTCTCTCTTTACGCTCTTTTTACTCCCAGCATGGAGCGGCGAACGCGCGTTTTGTCGCAGCTGGTGGATTTATAACGCGAGCTCGAGAAAAGGAGGAAAAAGCCCACAAAAGGGGGGGATAGGGACTTTTGGCTTCTCTCCGGCTCTTCCGCGACGGGATGGACGAGGCTGAAATTCGGCACATCGTAGTCGCTAATCGATATACGAGAATCTGTTTGTTTAGACATGGCACGAGTCGCTGCAGCGTAAAATCAAGAGAGAATCACAACATTTCTGTGTACATGGTACTCGAAGCCCGAGCACATACACAAGTAGGTGTGTATATGTATGTATAGGGTAGGTGAGGGGCACAATAGGTCCGGCGCCGGGACGGAGAGCGTCTCATTTAAGGCTAACTGTCCACAACGTGGGGTGCAAACTGCCCTTATCGGGCGGACGTTTATGCCTCGACCGTACCCACCCAACCCCCTGTCTCACTCCGGGCACCTTATCTGCTCCGAGCGCGAGTTTGCGTGTGTTGTACTGCTGCTATTATGTGTGTATGGTGGGGTATGCGGTGTCTGACGCCCAGCACAAAAGATCCCGCCTCGGAGAATGTGGGGCCTTTTCGGCTGCTGTTATACATGTACATACCTACTCTTGCTAAATGGCTCTCGAGTTTTTGGACAAAGCTGCGAGTTGTCGGTGAATCGTTTTTGTTTTTTTTTCTCTCTTTTTTTTTTTTTTTTTGGAGGGTAAAAATAATAAAAAAAAATAAAATAAAAAAAAGTTACTAGTAAAGAAGACAAACTTTCTCGTGTAAACACGCGTGTACGTACAAAAGGAAATAGAGGGGGCGGGGAAAAAAAAGTGATTTCCCTTAGGTTATTTTCCATTAACGGGAGCGCGCTTGAAACTGTCCTCCGCATTACAGATAAGACCGGGAGGCGCCAGTACTTGCAGCGAAAACAAGGGCGAGCTTGGCTCCTAAATCGTTATCGAAAACGAATTCGCTTACCCCACCTCCCGGGGGGTACACCATACACGCGGTGTACTCAGACAGATCTTTATGGCGGAGTCTTCTTTATTACACCGGTGGTGCGGTAAAAGAAGAAAAAGTAAGGGGGTCTCGCAATGGACGCGGATGGGTGAAGGGGAGCACCGTTCTCCCGGTGATTGAGATATGCACGTGCACAAGCAAACCGATGATTATTTGCTTTGCTATCGATACATCCGACACATTTTGGAAACCGAGACAAAAGTGCCGCGGTGGTTTGTGAAATTCAATCGCGTCGAGTCACCCTGACATATAGAGGTACAAAAAGTTGAGCTGACTGCAGTGGCTGAAGGAAGAAGAATAAAAGAGAAGGAGGAGGGCAGTAAGCAGGAAGTGTATAAGGCTGCTGAAAACAGAGACGTCACATACATATATATATACACCGCTATCTCTCGGAGGTTGTAAAATAACCGATGAACGACAAAGACGGCGCGTCGCCCGCAACTTGTTGGGAGCCAAAGGTACAAGGAGGACGATTTTCTTTCCGAGACGCTGGTAATAAATGAGATAAGAGTCTCCGGCTGGAGACAACAGCGTTATCGCTGAGTAGGTGTGTTTTTCCTTCTCGCGGTATGTACACACACGCTCCCCGTGGCACGAATTGTCTCTTTTCTTTTCAACTATCGTGCGGGGGGGTATTGTTTTCAAAAGTTGAATCTATGGCTGGCGTTTTGAGTGGTGCAAACAGCGTTCGGTCAGACGGGCAAAGTTGAAAATCGAGATTTAAGTATGAGGAGGGGGGAGGGGAGGGAAAAAAAAACAACCGGGATCGAGAACTGCACGCTCGGTATCCAACTAATTGGAAGTCTTAATGGCACTCGAGGTAATAACAACGCGAGCTAGCGTGCACCAGAGCCAGCAGCGCGGAATTCGCCCTTGCCGCGTTCGATGGGCGAATCAACAAACGGAACTGATTTCATTCCGTTCATTAATTCCGAGCGACTTGCCCCCTTCATCACTTGATTCCCCCACACCCTCTTGTTTTCCGCGGGGAATTCGAACCCTTTCGACCGTAGCTACACAGAGTAAACACGGGGGAGGAAAAAATTGCGGCCACACACACAATGTGCACGCGGTAAACAACTGAACTCGCTGCTGATGTTTCTATATACCGCGTGTCGCGTCGATACCGCGCACAGCCAAGGGAGAGAAAACACTGTCTCTTTGATGTTGCTCTCCGTATTAGATTTTTCACGAGCGATTGCGCATTACGTCCAGCAAAGGGAACATGAAAGAGAAGAGGAGGCGCATCTCCGGACGTAAACCGATGGTATATATCTGTACCCAACGGATAATGTACCTTCCGTCACGGAAGGACTGCCTTGGGGGAATGGATGTATTATTGTTCTTATTTGCAGCCGAGATGACACAATAAGGTATACATGTATATATACACCCAACTTTCTTATTTCCCGTTGTCTCTTTCCTAATTGCGTTTTAAAGGATTATACGATGGGATTGTTTCGCAAAGTCGATTATGAGATTGCCGGAGTTCGGGTGATTTTACGCGGCGACGCCTTCGGCTGGCCCCGAGGAGAAAAGTTGCGTCCACCGGCTGGGACAAGGGGAATAATCAAAAGACCTTGGAAAGCGATACTCCTCGGTATTTTCCGGAGATCTTTCGCGAGATAATCCGACTCGGGGCTGCGAGTTTTACGCTCGGCTCTGTTGCGCGAGCGGGTAATTTGCGCGGCGACTTTTTTTCTTTTCCTCGTTTCGACCGTGCTTGGGTGACTTCGAGTGGCGTTCGATCGAGGCGGAGTTCCTTCACCGACTCGGGCTGCAAGGAAAAGTCTTGACGGAGAGCTATGAGTGCTGGAATATGTTTCCACGCTTACTGATTCATGATAAATCTTAAACATTCACATCCACTACGCACACTATTCAGTTTTTTTTTAAAGAAGTGTTGTGTTTACACAAGGTTTTTATTTAATGAGGCTCGATGAATGGATACAATTTTTTTTTTGTTCAAGGTAAAGTACAGATAAATAACATTACCACAAAATAATACTTAGTCACTCAATTATGGTCTGGTTTTGATAACATTTATTACGCTTCAACAAACGTAAAATAATTATAGTATTTTTTTACGATACAACATTTGATTTTTGATTGGCTGGATAAAGTGGAAATAATGCATTGTGTTGGTTTGTTTATTTGTGGTGATTTTCCGGTTGAGCTACCAATGAGCTCCGAATTATTTTGTAAAAATACACTGAAATATCTTATAGTATTTTTCTTAAAATCAAGGCATGCCGTCGTAAAACTATACTTGCCATACTTTGGTAAGTAGAGTAGCTATACCTATACTATCAACAGGATTAATTGAGCAAATAAACTAGCGATCAACGCTTACTATGGCTATGGCATTTTCTCTTCATCCACTCCACGTATCCATAAACTGGTTGGCAGGCGTATGGGTGTTCATTGTCCACATGCACTGAGAGTTGATCTTCTCGGTTGAAGGTTTGTGGACATAGTCTGCAATCGTGGGTGTGTTGAAGGGATTCGACTATTTCATTCCGAACTTGGTCCTTGCGTCTTGTCAATTCCTCGTATCCACAAACTGGTTGGCACGCGTATGGGTGTTCATTGTCCACATGCACTGAGAGTTGATCTTCTTGGTTGAAGGTTCGTGGACATAGTCTGCAGTCGTGGGGGTATTCGACCATCTCATTCCGAACTTGGTCCTTGCGTCTCGTCAATTCCTCGTATCCACAAACTGGTTGGCACTCGTTTGGGTGTTCATTGTCCACATGCACTGAGAGTTGATCTTCTCGGTTGAAGGTTCGTGGACATAGTCTGTTGTCGTGGGTACGTCGATGAGGGGCTTCGACATGTTTTTCGAGACCAACTGCATTGCCATGGACGAAAGTTGATGGGGACTTATTGCTGCTGCGTCGGGAACTCTCCTCTTCGTGGATTTTCATGTGTTTCTTAAAATTTGTTTTATATTTGTAAGACTTAAAACATACCGTACAAGTGGAGGGCTCCTTATCGGTATGGGTTTCCAAGTGTGTCATAAGGTGGCGTTTGAGGCTAAAAGCTTCCGAACATCTGGGGCAGCTGAAGAGCTTCTTAATAGTATGGATTTGCAAGTGTGCCATAAGATGTTTTTTGAACCTAAAAGCTTCCGAACACCTGGAGCAGCTGTAGGACTTCTCGTCAGAGTGGATTCCCATATGTTTGTCAAGATTGTATTTTACTCTGAAAGTTTTCGCACACACTGAGCAGCTGAAGGGCTTCTCATCAGTATGAATCAGCTCGTGTCTCTTGAGATCACTTTTGTGTATAAAAGCTTTTGGGCACACTGTGCAACTGAAGGGCTTCTTGTGAGTATGGGTTCGCATGTGTGCAACAAGATTGCATTTGAGGAGGAAAGCTTTCGAACACATTGTGCAGGTGAAAGCCTTATCACCAGTATGGGCTTTTATGTGCTTTGAAAAGTAGAATTTACATCGAAATCTTTTCGAACATATGTGGCAGCTGTAGGGCTTTTCGCCCGTATGAATTTGCATGTGTATCTTCAGACTGTCTTTAGTGGTGAAGGTTCGTTGACATGTGGAACAACTGAATGGCTTTTCTCCAGTGTGAATCAATTGGTGTCTTTTAAGACTTCCATTGGAAGTGAAGGTTTGTGGACATATGGAACAGCTGAAGGGCTTTTCTTTGGTATGAACGCGTAGATATTCCTTCAACATAGAAGCCAAAGTACATATTTCTCCATTCTCAATATTATAGCCAGAATTCTGCTCTTGACTGTTATCCATGTTGATAAATAAAACGGCAAAAAAAGTGTGATGTTTGACCAGAATCAATTTCTATGGAGTGGGTAGTAGTTTCGCTGTCGTTAATTTTTCGGAAAACAATGATAATGCATCTACACAAGTTTAACACGTTGTTTATCTGTAAATGAAAAACACAAGAAATGATTCCTAATAAAACAGGGCCGTAGATATTTTTTTTCTATAATAAACTGTTCCAATCGAAATAATTTAAAAGTTATTTGATCAATGAAGAAATTATTACGACGAGTAAATTCCAATCGTTAAGAAAGAGTGAAATAGCAGGTTTTGTCACTGGTGCGCATTTCCTCGAGGTCTATCACCAGCCCCGGAAGGAAAGACCAAATGTTTATTAATAAAATGAAAATTAAAAAAAAACATTATGAGCAAAATATTATGAATAAAAACATTTTTATTTAAAAGTCGGGGACTAAAACGAAAATTTTTTTGTGGATTTACTCGTATAGTCTACATACATGTCAAATACTAAATATTTATATGAGAATCATTTTTAACCATATTTATGACATAAAGCTTTGTTTTCAATGGCTGAAGGCGATCTTTGTGGAGGTGAATGTTTATCATCTATATTTTCAATAATTACAATAACAAAAGTTTTGTTTCGGCAACGTGCTTCATTGATAACAAAATGGAAAAGTTACGCACATGCGCAGCGTACTACACATACACATACACATATACAAAAAAAAAACTCGTGTTACTTTCTAATTCTCGATGAAAAAAATGTATTATTAGCGTTTAATAATTACTCGATGATGCCCTAACCAAATTTCCTAGCATGTGCCAGAAGAACTTTAAGATATTTTTAAATACAGAAAGATTTTTTATTTGTACAATAAACTATTTTACATGTACTAATTGAATTTCATTTTAATAGTGTACGTGCTAAGAGTAACCTTGTGGCACCGTTGTAATGGTCGGATACACACAAAACTGAGCTTCGTGCTCACTTTTGCTACTGTATCAGGCCATGTGAGATTACTCTCTGCTAAATTATGTTTTTATCTCTTCACATGTTTTTCATAAAAAAGCGAAATGTAATGGATAATAATGAATGTTTTACTTCACGCATCGTCTGAGAAACAAAAAAATTTCATTCCTGAAAATAGAGACTAGGCTACTTCTGCATATTACTCATTAATTATTCCTTTAGATCAAAGACATGTAGATTGGAAAACAAGTTTATAAATATTAAAACAAACATTTACCTTTTGATGTAGCTTCAAGTCCAATCGTTGGATTAAAAACTATTGTGTCGACCAAAAACCCACTGTATCGAATTTTTCACCAAATTAGATATAATAACTGTTCTTTTCGGTTTAACACTCAACGTCACCACTTGAGGACAATCTTACAAGTATCTGATTATGTATGTAAAATCAGTTTTCACGTAACTCAAACCAAGTATATATATGTACGCATATAATAGCGGTGTAAATACTGTAAAACATTAGTACAAAAAAAAAATGTTTATTACTGCTTTAAAAATCTTAACAAAATATATTTTTCTATTCTACTACTATGTGAAGTGAGAAATAACGAACCGTACACTTTGATGTACAAAAAATCAATGCTTTCACACTGCATGAGGACATATCGAGTTGTCGATGTCGAGTGATAATCGAGGAATGCTAATGGCACAATAATGAGTTCTCGCTACGCGTTCAGTCAAACAGTTTTTAAGTGGGACTATTTTGCTTCGTTGGCCTCAAAAAAAATGTACTTTTCAAACTTTCCTACCACTTAAACAATAAGCTTTAAATTTAACTACACCCACGCGATACGTTGTACACAGAGATGTACAACCATATAAAATAGTACATTACGCCACTAGAGCGCAAAGTGGCACTTTGCACCCGTGGGCGTACTTTGCACCCGCTGACTACTTTGGGCACACGTGCGCAAAGTAGTCAAAGGGTGCAAAGCGCGCACAAGGGTGCAAAGGCCTGCGCTCGAGTCGCGTATATTATTTTTCTCCTTAAGGGCGCAAAGTGAGATGAACACAATAATGATATCGGGTCATTGTTAAATTATCAAGTTCTTTTTGTTATATTTTATTCTTACCTCAGGCGTTTTAGGGGATGTTGATAAATAAAAAAGGTTTATCACATCTTATTCAAAAATTACTATTTCTTTATTAAAAAAGTAACATGTTTTTTTGCAATTTTTATGCATTAATTAGATTAGTTTTTTTCTTACATTTCAATCTTATGAGTTTTTATACTTTTTAAAATATACTTAAAATGTTATATGAAAATTAAATGGTTTTTTAGGTTGCGTATCCGCATTTGAGCTTGATGTATGAATGTTTATCGTTACGTTTTTAATCGATGCAGCTGCAAAAGAATCGCATGAAGTTTCATCGATCTTTAAAAGTTTTGATGGTTTATCACTAATGTTGATAATTTCTGCATCCTCTGTGACGTTTGATTGTACTGATTCAGTGTCATCAAATTTTGATTGTTTTGATGACGAAGGACTATTTATGTCATTTTTTTCTACAATATCTCCAACAATTTTATTACATAGTTTTCGTTTATTACTAATAGAGTCGGCAATGTACCCTTCGACGACCTTGGTCGATTTCCAGCCGCCGTGGCGTTTTAACTCCATCTCATTTGCTCCAGCATCAGCTAAGAGAGTAGTAGATGTTCTTCGAAGACTGTGCGACGTATATAGTTCAGGATTGGGTAGATTTAACCACTTGGCTATTTTATGCGTAAATTCTCCCAATCCATTTATTCCCACAACTTGCCTGGTACATTTTCCATTAACGTATTTTAGAAATAAGCTGTCAGGAACAGACCCCTGCGATGTACTGGGTCTAGAAGACATGTATTTCAAAATTAATGTACGAAATGGTTCGTTGACTGTGAATAAACGATCTACGTGAGTCTTAGTGTTCGGGAGTTTGACAACAAGATGCGTATTTTCATCTTTGATGTTTTCGAGCCGTAAATTGTAGAGTTCTTGCCTCCGACAAGCTCCTGTAATTCCTAAGATTAAAGCAACCTGTAACGATTTAAAAAGGGTTAACATATTTTCAGTAATAAATGTTTAGAAGTTATAAAATAATTGATCAATACTTACTTTGATGCTTAAAAAGTCATTATCCGGTGCTTTAAACAAAAATTTTTTCAAATCTCCAGATGTGAACGGTTTTGCTTTTTTCGGGTTGTATCCAGTATTTAATTTTTTAATAAAACTTTTGAGCTTGAAGTATTTGCTGATGTCAATGTCTTTTTCGGTGTGAATCATCGTCTTCAGCATGGAAAACTTTGACCACAACGTTGGTGGAGAAACAGACTTACTGAGTTCACTAAAGTATGCTAGCAGCACAGGTTCCGAAAAAGAGTTGGTTTTTTTCGCCTCCATCCATTCAGTGAAAATCTTATACACGGCCTTGTACTTGGCTTTAGAAGTTTCTGGCAGCGTATCAACAACAGCAGCTTGGGCTGCATCGAGTAACTCCTGCGGTACGCTCTCTTCATCCGACGATCCACTCATTCTCTAATCAAGAAAATCGAAGGAGACACACAATTAACACTGTCATGTATTACTTCTTGCTGAATTTCTAAGACAAGAAACGTAAAAAAATGCAGGTACTTACTATCGCTCCTTTTGTTTATAGAGTTTTTTTGGTTAGAATTGCGATGCGGTTTCCTACCGAGCGATTTCTTGAGTAACGCCTTGAGCAACATAGCCTTGACCGAGAAAATTTTCATTTCAAAATTTTCAAAAAAAGACGAAGTAACGGACTGATGAATCGAACGTTCATAAGGAAAAAAAAAAATCTTGCTGTCAATCGCCATTCCTGTAGCATCGACATCGCTACACTCGCGCGTCTACATTACCTACAATACCTATGCAGCTGTTTGGTAACTTATACGCATGCGAGAGAAAAAACGTATGAAGCACACATACACACACACGCACATACATACATATATGTATATACACATTCGCGTATACATAATGCACACGACAGTCGTACAGTGCATCTGCAATCTGCATGACCCAATACATCGTCCATACGTGCCTGTGTGCATACCTATATCATACCTATATAGGTATACGAAATTAAGTGTACGAGGACGAGGACTGTATGCTAATTTGGAGTGTGTGTACAGGTATACGTGAACGTATATACGTATCCTATATATCAACGCGTTTATATTCTTGTAGTTTGAAGTATATGCGCAACAAAGGTTGTGCGGGGTCCAGGGGCGGCAGCCCCGGTGGGGGTGCAGGGGGCGAAGCCCCCGCTGGGGGGGTATGGGGGGGCGAAGCCCCCCCGCTCTGCCAAGCATCAGAGACTGTCGATCATTTAAAAAAATTTCTGCGTTTTTTCAAATACTATGCTTCTATTAACTAACCCTTAAGCTGCCCTCATGTATACGTAGCAGCTAAAGAAAAATGTGAAGTGCTGGTATAAAGAACAGAGTATACTGAGAACGATACTTGGGATCCAGGGACTGAAGTCTCTCTTACTCCTCACCAGCTCTTCCCCCCGCCAAACAATGATCGGATCGATCAATAAAACATCCAAATCCAGAGGTTTCGCTCCTCTAACGGCCCCGCATATAAATTGAATAAAAATGAGCTATTTAAAGCTTACACACTATAATTACAAAAATTTTGATAGCGGGTGGGAATGAACTTTGCATCCGAAAAAAATTATGACAATAATATATGAGAAATTTACTAATATTTCAATTACTTTGCACCCGGGCGTGCCCAAAGTACTTTGCACCCGCGCGTGCCCAAAGTACTTTGCGCACTGAGAGTGGAAAAGTTCTTCTTTGAGCCCATGACACAGCTACGGAAAGTACTTTGGGCACTCATTTTGCGCCCGAAAGGGAGAAAATTTCATTTTCTAACAATTTCCTCAAGTTTTAACTGACGAGGGATGTGTTCACTAAAGATGTGGTGAAATTCAGATTGATAAGATTACAAAAGTTACA